CCGCCAACCACCGATATTCGGCGCCATCAGTTCGTCTCCCGTCGCTCGCATCGCTCAAGCGATCCGTCGCTCCTGCAATTGGTGCAAAATCGCTCCAATCGCAAAGTCTGACATCGGCCACTACGGGTGAATGGGTCCAAAATTTCGTTACTATTCCACTATTACTCCCCAAAATCTCAAAATTTTATTTTTCGTCGAAACTTTGCCTATAGGGGTAATTCGATGCCCTGATTACGAATATGACATTCATTTTTGATGCTGGCGCCATTTGGCGCCAGTTGGCGCCACCTTGTCACGACGGCTGTTTTCACCAAATTCGGTGTAAACTTGTATATAGGGGTTATTTGGTGTCCTGATTACGAATATGACATTCGTTTTTGGCGCTGGCGCCATTTGGCGCATATTCTGCTCGTCTGCGCCCTCTCACTGACTTGCTCGCGATCAGGGTAAGCCTTTGGAGAGAGAAGGCTCAGAGGTGAGCAAGCCACTCACCTGTGATCTCACACACTTCATCTCTTGCCAAACGATGCGCAATTTACCCAACGCGGTGTCCCCTTCCCAACAAGCTTACACTTATCGTTAGGCACTGTACCTAAGTGAGAGAGCCCAGGAGAGCAGAAATATGCGTTAAACAGCGCCAATTCCAAAACGAATGTCATTTTCGTAATCAGGACACCAAATAAGCCCTATTCACAAGTTGACATAGTTCCGCCAACTGACACCAAATGGCGCCAGGGTCAAAAACGAATACCATATTCGTGATCAGGGCATCGAAATTACTCTATGGCAAAGTTTCGACGAAAAATAAACTTTTGAGATTTTGGGGTAGTAGTAGAATAGTGCAAATTTTGCGCATTCAGTAAAAAGTGTTTCACACATTCCTGACGAAAAATTTCCTGACCACATAAGCTAAGGATTTGAGATACGGCTGCTGTCAAGGAAAGTTTAAGCAATAAGTGCTGCCCAGAAGACGCGGTGAAGACCTACGAAAGTCAGACGTGGGTATTCTCAGTAGGTCCTGCTATCCATAAGTCATGTTGACGCAGCTCAAGGTTGGCAAATTGGGCGGCGCTGTGCGCTTCTAACTGCGGGTGGGATCGCGCCATATGACCACCTCCCCATCGTGACTGCAACTGAATGCAATCAATAGCTATTAACGTGTTTATTACACGTTAAGGCACGTGGTAACAACAAGCTCTGAATAATACCTATCGTCGAAATCTGTTTCTTGACATGTTCATACTGGAAATGAACAAATCAACCAGGGTGCTAACTTAGTTGGGGGGGGCACGCGGCGGCGCGGCAGTCTGCTCACCTGGGCTCTCTCGAGCGGGACAGGGTAAACTCGAACATTCCAGCTTTTCACGCATGTCAAGTGACTGCCCC